GTTGCTGAGATTCTGGAAGCTATGCCATGGGTATTTAAATACCAGCAGGGTCACCCACGGTGGACAGGTTTCAGATGAGCTTCCAGATGAAGACAGACTGGGAAGAAGGAGAGCTGGACTATTGGAATGTATGGAATATACAGTGATGAATAGTCACTGAAAACGTTATGAGTAACACAGTACAACACTGTTAGCACCATAGTGTTCCATACTGAAGCATGATGGAGAGAGCACAGAAGATCAGCCCTCAGGTTAGAAGGCACTCCCAATGCAACTGGGGAAGAGCTGCCTCCTCAAAGGAGAGTCGACCGTGATGACACCAATGAAGTAAAGCTTTCGGAACCTTCCCTTGCTGATGATGGGGCACAGCTGAAAATGAAGAGAAGCAGCTGTAAACATCCATTAGTAATCAGAACATGAAATGTACAAAGTGGGAGTCTAGGAATTTGGAAATTGTAAAATAATGAAATTGAATGCATAAGCGTCAGTACTCTAGACATTAGTGAACTGAAATCAACTGGTATCGACCATTTTGAATCTGACAGTCATGTGGTTTACTATGTCAGGAATGACTAATTGTGGAGGAATGACATTGCATTCATCATCAAGACATGTCAAGGTCTGTCTTAAAGTACAACGCTGTCTGTGGTAGGATAATACCCATGCTCCTACAAGGAACATCAGTTAATACGACTAGTATTCAAATTCATGCAACAACCACTAAAGCCAGTGAAGATGAAATTGAAGAATTCTACCAACCTAATCAATTAGAAATTGATCAAACATGCAATCAAGATTTATTGATCATTACTGGTGATTGGACTGCAATAGTTGGAAACAAAGAGGAAGGATCAGTAGTTGAAAAATAAGGCCTGGGTGATAGAAATGATGCTGTAGATCACACAATAGAATTTTGCCAGACCAATGACTTCTTCATTGAAATACCTTCTTTATACAACATAAAAGACGACTGACTATACACGTGGACCTCACAAGATGGAATACACAGAAGTGGAAAGAGATGGTGGAAAAGCTCCATATCATCAGCTAAAACAAGGCCAGGTGCAGACTGTGGAACAGACCATCAATTGCTCATGTGCAAGTTCAGGCTGAAGCTGAAGAAAATGAAAATAAATCCACAAGAGCCAAAATACAACCTTGAGTATATCTCACCTGAATTTAGAGATCATCTCAAGAACTAATTTGATACATCAGACACTAATGACCGAAGATCAGAAGAGTTGTGGGATGACATCATGAACATCATACAGAAAAAAAGCTAAAGGTCATGAAGAAGACAGGAAAAGACCAAAATGGATGTCAGAGGAGATGCTGAAACTTGTTCTGCAGTGTAGAGATACCAAAGCAAATGTAAGAAACGAGGAGGTAAAAGAGCAGAATAGAACATTTCAAAATGCAGCTCAAGAAGACAGAGTCAAACATGATAATGAAATGTGCAAAGCCATGGAGTTAAAGAAATCACATGGGAAGAACACGCTCAGCATTCTTCAAGGTGAGGGAACTAAGTAAAAACTTGAAGCCTCGACTTAAAATATTGATGGATTCTATGGGCCGAATATTGAATGATGTAGAAAACATCAAAAGAAGATGGAAGGAACATCAGCAGTCCAACTGACTACTACGAGAAAAAGCAAGTTGTTCCCCAGGGAACCATCAAGGCAAGTGGTCAGGCAAACCCCCTTCCAGGACTGAAACTCAAATGGAGTACACTAGCAGGCATATGGTCCTGCTGCTGACCACGTTGGTCACCGATAAGGGGAAGAGGGAGCAAAACAGCAATGAAGTTGTGACTTAAGTCCAACCACATTCAATAGACTCCTGTTAACCTGGATTGAGACCTGGGTAATCAACAGTATGACGAGACCTGGGGACTTCTGGGCCTAGGGACATGGCCCCAGAGGACTGGAACGGAGTGTGAAGCATCCAGCTGATATGAAGAGAAGGGGGGGGTGGGTGCACAAGAACACCCACACTTGCAGATAGTACCCATTTGAACTGGCATCAATGGCTGGATGATCAGAACACGACTAGAGGAAGAAAGAAAAGGGTTGGAGGGGAGGAGTAACCCACTATAAGTGGATGAACTTGACCTAGGCTTGTGGATGCAGCATGACAAAGGAGCAGACAAAGCTCTACAGTGAGGATCATTCCCAGCCCCTTGGTACACAGGGCCTACAGGGAGGGGGAACGTAAACATTGACTACTCAAAATGGGGGCACTACAAAGGCAAGAAGTGACTGGCTTACAAGCTTTCAATAGGGAACCTAGCTCCAGAGGATACAGGGAAAGGTAGAACCTCCACTGAATTGTTTCCAACCTGTCTGATGGAGCTAATAAAAGGTGATGGGGAAAGAACTCCTGTGGTTCAATAGGGAATGATTGCTATCAGGTCTGACAGTGAGTGTTGGAAAGGTAAATGTAAAGGTTTGGTAACATAAGGAGGGGAGAGGCTGATTTTGCAGTCCAGGAGCTGAGATCCCTGGAACCATCAAGGGAGAAAAGCAAAGTGCAGGACCGTGTCCGGAGAGGCAGTGACACTAGGGATGGAGGCAGAGGCAATGACATGGACAGAAGGAGTGGCTGGGGACTCTGGACTCAGGGAAAGAGAGGGGTTGTGTGCTGGCAGCTGGGGTACAGGCATGTGGGGTCTACCCTTTGGGTGTTTGATGATGCATGCAGGGGGTTGTGATCATTGCAGTGAATCCAAGTACGGTATGATGAATGTAAAGATGATGTTCACCCATGTAAACTAACACATAATTCACAATAAAAACTTTTTTTAAAAAAAGAAGATGGAAGGAAGGTGCAGACTCACTGTACCAAAAATAAATGGTTGTAGTTCAGCCATTTCCAGAGGTAGCATATGTTCAAGACCAATGATACTGAAGAAGTATCAATGAAGGAAGGCACTGGCCACCTTGGAACAGCAGGGCTCTCTGATACAGGGATCGAGGCACAGTCTGAATGGCTAAGAGAGAGGAGATAATGTTAAGGTGCTTGACTGTCTTGTGAAGATAATTCATTTCCCTTGCCTACTATTGTGAAATAGACACTTAAGTGGGATAGAAAGGAACCTTGGGAAACATGCAGAAAACTTGTAAGCCTGTTTTCAGACTATAACTGATTGGAATACCTAAAAGAGGTTCTAGGATTTGCCAGTGAAATAAGCTTCTTGTGGAACTTTTTTAGAGTATAGGGCCTTAGGTCGAATGCTGAGCCTCATCCAGAAGCTCCTGAAGTGGGATATTCCCACTTGAAAGGATATGGAGACCACCCCAGAGTGACTAGAGGAACAGAAGATACTTCTTGAAAGAAAGACCTGCAGAAAGAAAAAAAAAAAAAAAATCAAGACTGTTTAGCTATTACAAGAGCAAACAAGTTGTGCACCTAGAAACTATCAGGGCCCTTCAGGACAAACCCCCATCCAAGACTGAAATTCAAAGGGAACACACGAGCAGGCGTGTTAGTTCGCTGGTTGGTGACCACATTGGTCTACTTGTGAATGGAAGGTGGGGGAAGGCATTAATTAATGAAGACATAGCTGAGTTCAACCATTTTCCATAGCCTCTTATTGACCTTGAGATGAGAGAGTGAAGCGGAAGGACTGGTTGATCCACGTTTGGAGAGACTCGGTAACATCTGAGCCCATGGACACTGACCTTAACACTTGGGGACTAGAGCCGAGAGTGAAGTTTTCAGCTGATATGAAGTGGGGGGAGGTGGGCAAGAATGCCCAAACTTGCAAATAGTACCCATTTGACCTAGCTTGGATGGCTAGCTGATCAGACCTCAACTACAGTAGGTTAAAAGAAGTTCAGTACAAGAAACAAGTGTAAGTTGCCACAATTTGATGAACTTGACCTTCATGTATAGATGTAGTCGCTCAAAATACCAACCGAGAGGGAAGGAGTCTTCACATCAAGGATCAAACCTATCCCCTCTGTAAACAGGGTTGCTAGGGACACGGGCAGCTTAGACACTGGCTACCTAAAATGAAGGGGGCTATAAAGGCACAAAGTGGCTGGTTTCTAAGTTTTCAAGAGCGAGTTTAGTTTCAGAGCAAGTGGAGGAAGGTAGAATCCCCACTAAGTAGTTTTCATCTTGTCTGGAGGAGTGTAGTGAAAGGAGATGAGGGATAGGATTCTTTTGATTCAACAGGGAGTAATTGTTATTGTGACTAATTGCGATTGTCACAACTGTAAAGGTAAAATATGTGTCACAAAAAGAGGGGGTAGTTAATCTTACAATCCAGGAACAGAGGACTCTAGGACCATCAAGAAGGAAGAGCATGAGCGGATTATTGAATCCTAACCAGAGAAGCAGCGACACCAGGGATGGAGGGAGAGGGGATGGCATGGAGAGAGTGAGCAGCTGAGGACTCTAGACTCATGGAAGGAGAAAGGCTGTGTGCTGGTGGGCAAGAAGCTGGCTTGCAAAATATGCCCTTTGGTTGTTTAAACGATTATATATTCCTGTGTGTTTTTGTGTGCAAAAAAAGGGGTGGGGGAAATAGAGGCAAATACTGTTTGGATGGGGAGTGAAGGGGATTTGTAATCATTGCAGTGAAACAAAGTACGATTGGTTGAGTGCAAAATCCATGTTCTGCCATGTAGACTGTCACTCAACTTAAAATAAATCCATGTTCTGCCATGTACACTATATCCAATTTACAATAAATCTATGTTCTGCCATGTACACCATACTCAATTTACAATAAAAGCTTCTAAAAAAAGAAGATAGAAGGAAAACACAGTTGCTGTACCAAAAAGAAATGGTTGATGTTCAACCATTTCAACATGTAGCAGATGATCAAGAGCCAGTTACACTGAAGGAAGAAGTCCGAGGTGCATTAAAGGCACTGGTAAAGAACAAGGCTCTGGGAATCGATGGAATACAAATGGAAATCTTTCAACAAACTGATGTGGCATGGAAGCACTCACTCATTTGTGCCAAGAAATTTGGAAGATGACTACCAGGCCAATTGACTGGAAGAGAGGTGACCAACAGAATACGGAAATCAGATAATATCATTAATATCCCTAGCAAGCAAATTTGTGCTAAAGATAATTCAAAAACGGCTGCAAGCATACATTGACAGAGAATGTCCAGAGGTTGAAGCTAGATTCTGAAGAGGGATATCCTTGGTGACATCAGATGGATCTTGAGTGAAAGCAGAGAATACCAGAAAGATGTTTATCTGTGCTTTTGTGACTACACAAAGGCTTTTGGTTGTGTGGATCATGACAAATTATGGACAACATTGAGGAGAATGAGTGTTTCGGGAACTTGATTGTGCTCACGAAGAACTTGTCATAGACCAAGAGGCAGTTGTTCCAACAGAACAAGAGAACACTGAATGGTTTAAAATTAGGAAAGTTGTGCGCCAGGGTTGTATTCTTTCACCATACTTATTCAATCTATATGCTGAGTAGATATTCCAAGAAGCTGGGTTCTGTGAAGAAAAATGTGGCATCAGGATTGGAGGGAGACTCATTAACAACCTGCGATATGCAGATGATACAACTTTGCTTGCTGAAAGCGAAGAGGATTTAAAATACTTATTGATGAAGATCAATGAGCACAGCCTTGGATCTCCATGTAAATAACATAGAAGATCCTCCCCACTGGACCACACTGGACCAGTAAGTAACATCACGATACATGGAGACAAGATTGACGTTGTCAAAGACTTCATTTTGCTTGGATCAACCATCAACACTCATGGAAGCCGCAGTCAAGGAATCAAACAACGTTTTGCTTTAGACACATCTGCTGCAGAAGCCCTCTTTTAAGTATGAAGGCAAAGATGTCAATCTGAGGACTAGGGTTTGCCTGACCCAAGTCATACGCATGTGGAAGTTGGACAGGGGCTCAGGAAGACCGTGGCAGAGTTGGTGCATTGGAGTTCTGGTTGGAGGAGAATACTGACAGTGCCATGGGCTGCCAGAACCAGTCAGTCCTGTGTGGGAGGAAGAACAGCCAGAGGGCTCCCCAGAAGCCAGGATGGCCAGACTTCATCTCCCATCCCTCGGACCTATTGTTAGGTGAGACCAGTCCCTAGAGAAGGATATCATGTTGGGTAAAATGGAGGGTCAGACAAAAAGAAGAAGACCCCCCCCAACGAGATGGATTGGCACAGTGGCAGCAGCAATGGACTCAAATGTGCACCAATTGTGAGGTTGGCACAGGACTGGGCAGTGTTTCATTCTGTTGTGCACAAGGTTGCTGAGTTGGTACCAGTTCGATAGCACCTAATAACAACAACAAGCTCTTACTAGTTCAACCCAGCAAAATTGCCATCAAATATGATGCCCAGGGGGAAGGTAGAACCCCCCCTGAATAGTTTTCATCTTTTCTAAAACGTGTCTTGTGAAAAGAGATGGGGACAAGATTCTTATGATTCAATAGTGAGCAGTTATTATCATGACTAATTGTGACTGTCACAACTATAAAGGTAGAAAGTTTTGTAACAAAAAGAAGGGAGTAGTTACAGTCCAGGAACAGAGGACTCTGAGCATGAGCGGAATGTAGGACCCTATCCAGAGAAGCAGCGACACCAAAGAGGGAGACAGATGAGGACATGGAGAGAGAGAGAGCAGCTGAGGACTCAAGACTCAAGGAAAGAGAAAGGCTGAGAGCTGGCGGCCAGGAGGCAGGCTTGCAGAACGTGCTCTTTGGTTGGTTGTTTAAATGATCATATAGTCCTGAGTATTTTTGTGTACCTTCCAAAAAAAACCAGAGGGCTAGAAGCAAATACTGTTGAATGATGATTCACGGAGGGGATTGTAATTATTGCAATAAAACGGTAAGTATAAAACTGATAGTCCCCCATGTAAACTATCACTCAATTTACAATAAAAACTTAAAATATATGTGTGTGTGTGTGTGTATAATGCCAAATTTGGATATTTTCAGAAAATAGAAATGAAAAGAATTTCTAAAAACCGGACCAACCTTAAGTAAAATCCTAACTGGAGATCTTTGGACAGACACACTAACAGCAGCAGACAGCAGCCGGAGTCTCACATCTAAGGCAGCGATGTTGTGGATGAATGCTGTTGGGTCAGCTCCGAGTCGCAGCCACCTGGTGTGGGGCTTCTGACGAGTTGGCTGGCAGTAGCTCATCCTACAGGACGTCAGTTACAGAAGTAGCCAAAGGCAAACCAGCCTACAAGACTGAGACTAGGGAAGTAGAGGTCTTCGTTTTGCAACAATAGCAAAAACCCCACAAATTCAAACGAGGGGATAATGTAGTTTCCAAACTTCCAAATGAAGAGAAAATCAAGTACATTTCGAATAAAAACAAAGGTAGCTCTAGAAGTAGACAAAGCCTTAGTCCTAGCCAACCCCTAGTGCTAACCATAACTCCTGACTTTTACCCTCACCCCCAAACGACCCCCAGTTCCGATGGATGAAAGATTTATGTCTTATTTTGCTACTCTAGGCTCGTGCTGTCTTGGAGAGGGAGTTCAACAACCTCTTGGTCGTCGGCACTGATAGAAGGTTCGATGAAGTAAGTTTCTGAGGGGGGCGCATTCTAGATTCACATCCATGTAGTAAGTTTCTGAGGGGCGCATTCTAGATTCACATCCATGTAGTAAGTTTCTGAGGGGCGCATTCTAGATTCACATCCATGTAGTATCTGAGGGGGGCGCGTTCTAGATTCACATCCACGTGGTAAGTTTCTGAGGGGGCGCGTTCTAGATTCACATCCACGTGGTAAGTTTCTGAGGGGGCGCGTTCTAGATTCACATCCACGTGGTAAGTTTCTGAGGGGGGCGTGTTCTAGATTCACATCCACGTGGTAAGTTTCTGAGGGGGGCGCGTTCTAGATTCACATCCACGTGGTAAGTTTCTGAGGGGGCGCGTTCTAGATTCGCATCCATGTAGGCGAGGGGCAGGCCCCATTTCATCACCTCCAAAAACCCTGGCCAGACATCAAATTTAGGCACAAACGAGCTGCTAAGAAATATTTTCTGTCAAATAGTGACTGGCCAGTTCATTTTCAGCAACCCAACAGAGCATCTCAAAATGTGGGGTACAGCCGGCCAGTTGGGTTTTGGAAACAGCTGGGTGTCTGTCCCCCCCTGGGATGTGGAACGCATGCGGCATCACTGTCCCTGGGTAGCGAGCCACGCTGTCCCCTTGCTTGTTGCTGGCGTGGCCAGGTGTGACAGGGAAAGAGGAACGGGTCTCAGTGTGCCCTGACAGATGCTGAAAAGCTGCTTCCAGCCTTGAGCCCGGGTTTTGAGATGCAGGAAGGAGTGTCCTCTTTCATCACTAGAGGGGTTTCTACAGAGTAGGGAATGAAGCGTGGAGCCTGCTTGGTGGCCGTGGACCAACCTCCTGTACCCCTGTCAGGCTCAGAAATTTGCAGTGGGGCCATCACATCATCAGTTCAACACGTGTGAACAAGCACGTCAGCCAACCCTGTGAAGTCAACAGGCAGCATGTTCCAGGGAGAGAGCTGGGAAGGAGGCGGGGAGTGGACACGGGGGAGACACAGTGAGCAGGTGGGAAGTGTGTGCTCTATCGTGAGATCACCATCAGTGGCCCAAAACAACACGCATCCCAGTGCTTGCAGGGAAAACCAGTTTGCTCTGTGAACTTTCACCCCAATCACAATTTCACAAAGGTGCCCGCGTCTGCTCCTTCCTTCCCAGGACGACGACAAGAGCTTTAGGAGGGCACCTTCCTGGCGGAAAAAATTCAGACCAAAGGACATCCGCGGCTTAGCAGCCGGGTCAGCAGAGACGCTGCCGGCAAACTTCAGGGTCACGGCTTCCATGTCGTCACCCTCTATGCAGCCCAAGAAGATGCAGATGGACGGTAGGTATCGTGTGGTGTCAGCAGGTCACCTGCAGGCTGTGTGGCCGCCTCCGTGGCTGGAATGTTCGTGGGGCGTGAGGCACTCAGATGGCCGGTGTCGTACATCACGAGGCCACTGAGTACTGATGCATGGTCTGAAGACTTGAAATGCACCCTAACGTTCGTGTATCGAATTTCTGTCTGTTTTCATTTTTGTTTTGGCTGACTCAGCATTGTGGTTCTACCAGCTAACCAAGTTGTCCAAGCGTGAGATTGACGTCTGTGTGTGTGACTACGTAGGTGGCAGGCAGTGCTCGGGGACCCTTCCTTACATTGGTCGTCTGGTTGCATTCAGGCCAGGCGGTTTACCCTAGGCTTTCTAGGACACTTGCCGTCACGCAGCGGCAGTCTCCAGCACTGGGAGACTGTCCAGTCCTCCCTCCTGTTGTTACGTTGTTACGTGCCTCTCCCAGTGGAGAAGGATGGGGACGAGAGAGGGAGGGTCTTAGGGGAGTCAGCTATAGAGCTAGCTCGGTCCTGTAACACGCCAGCTGAGACACCGTTTCTCCCGGCGCCATTGCAGACGCAGTTCCCACTCATCCGAGGACACCCACTTGGCTTTAGAGCACAGAGTGGGCAAAGTGGACGGGGGCTTCATACTGTCCTCCAAGCTCCTCCTCACAGCCCCCGAGTGAAAAACACCCAGGCTGTGCCCCTTGGCAACCGCAAGACCCTGAGCAGGGTGCATAGCTGCAGCTGCCTCAGTCTCCCCGTTTGTCTGGGCCCAGTTCGATGAGTGCTTCCCAAAAGACCCTTAGAGTAATGTGCTAGCCCAGTGTGGCGGCAGGCACTTGTCAGTGTTGAGATTGGAATGTCAGCAGACCCCCTTCTAGCTGTGACGGAGAGACAGACTGGCAAAAGGGTCGTTTCCCTCCCATGTGCCTCCGGGCACAAGTTGGCAGAGGGATTGTGTTGATGCTCCCTGGACAAGCGATGCTAGAGGCCCTGTGTTAGCAGGAGGGCGAGCGGGGCAGGCAGCGTTTGAGTTCCATAGTAACTGCTGCTTGTTGTGAAGTGGTGACAAGTCAGCTCCGACTCATAGTGTCCCCCCCCCAATATAGGGCTTCCAAGGAGCCGCTGGTGGATTTGAACAGCTGGCTGTGGTTCGCATTCTAGTACTGTAGGAAATTAAAAATCCAGCAACTTTCCACTGATAAGCATTTGTCTTCAGGAGTAGACAGGTATTTCTTGTAAACATCAGAAAGCGCTGGGTGTCCCTTCCCTTGTCACTTACCATTTCACCTCCTTCAACTTGGAGCCGGCCCAGGAGCGCCTCCTACTTTCCTCATATCTTCAACTGCCATCTGTGACTTTAGTCACGTCTTCTGGACAGTGATTGGGAGATTCAGCTGTGGAGAAGTGAAACCAAGTCCATCACCTAGAACAAGGCCTGCACGTGGGGGACGGAGTGTCCTGGGGGCTTTTAAAATACGGCCTCTGCTCTGTACCCTCCAATTCACAAGAAAAAGTGGAGAAATGATCTGATGTTAGAGGGGGGATGCGTTCTTCCCCGCAGCCCCGCCTCTCCTGAGACCGGGGCTGGAGGGCGGTGGGAGAAGGTGCTCCTAGACTACCTGTGGGACAGGTAGAAGCTGGGGACGGGGGTAGAAAGAGGGTGGCTCGTGGACCGTGTGCTGTGTGTTTCAGGTAGAAGCTGAGCCTGGGCTTTGGTTTCCTTAGAGCAGCCATGGCAGTGATTTGGTCACGGAGAGGCCCCTGGCCTGTGACTGCTCTAGGGGACACAGTCGTCACTTTGGGAAGCAGTGATTTGTGCAGTGGTAGTTTTATGTCCACTTTAGACTCTTCGTCCAGGCATCCCCAGCGCTCCTTGAGAGAGAGAGGGGACCAGCCCCTAGACCCTTGGCCCTCCGAGCTCACTCCCTGACCCCCTAGAGACAGTCCCTGGGGCCCTGGTGGGGAGCCTCGTGTCTGCGCCCCATGTGTGACTGCCGTGTGAGACTCACTGCACGCTGTGCTCTGCATGTTCTCCCTGGGCTGTCGGGACAGGTGACGTGGCGGGGACACAGCGGCTGGATTCGGCCACCGTACGGACCTACTCCTGCTAACACCGGCTGTCGGTGAGTAGAGGGCGTGGTCCTGTGCGCACAAGCTGGTGTCGGCCAAGATGGGGTGCTGCCACCCGGGGTCTGTGTGCTCGCAGCTTGGCGAGGTCATGGTTTGCCATGTCTACTAACACCCTCCTCCTCTCTCAGGAGGGAGGGAGGGAGGTAGCCAGCTTGTTGATGGGGAGCAGAGAACACGAGGAACAGGGCAGGCCCACTGCATCCTGATGCTGGCTTGCACACCGTCCACCTCCGAGGGGGCCAGCACCCCTGGCTGGAGCCTGCCCCAAAGCTGCATGGCTCTGTGAGGACGGGGACTCTGACCCTAACATTTTGAGAGATTGGTTTTCACACAGAGCCTCTTGGTCCACACGGGGCTGCTCCTTTAGGAGGCCGTGGGTGGTCCCTGCTGCCCCCCTCTGAGCTGGGCTCTTGTGGTACTTGTTCATCCTCTGTGGGATGAAGTCTATCCAGGGACCCCTGCTTACTCTCCTAGGCCTCAGTCTGTTAGAGGGGAAGGGGAGGGGGGTGCCTTCACATGGGGACATTCATCAGTGCAGCCTGTCTGAAGGGCGTCTTTCTGTCTGCTTCTGTTTCTCAGTTTACCCACACTACTTCTACCGATGACCACCAGAGGTCTGAAATGATCCAAGACCACGATGTCGTATTCAATGGAATCTGGAATCTGTTAATACTTGTTATATGAACCCGAAGATATTTTATTACAGAGTTTTTAATTCGTGAGAAATTCATGAATACCATAGAGAAAATATTTTAGAATGTAATGTTTCCTATATTTATGTAAACTTATGACTCATTTATAGAGTGACAGACTTTTTCATGGATATCCAAGCTATAAATATCCTTACAAATCAATTCCCTTTCTTATACCTAGTTCTAGTCTTTGAAATGAATGTACTGTAATGCTCGTATGTATAAATCCTATGGACAAATAGAGGGCTTTGTAAATTATGCACTTCTTGTAATTATCACTTTGGTCTTTGTAACAAGAAACCATGACTTCGAAGAGGAATTTACTACGTCTGTGAAGCTGTCAGGACGGGCTGGGGGCGTCCTCCTTTGCTGCAGAAACCAGCGCTACCACAATCATCCGGAAGCCAGACTGGCTTTCACGCAACTCTGGCGAGTTTCAATGACCTTAACTGTACCTTTCCTAGCTGCGCAGCCGGGGGAATCGGGAACTGCGCAGACGCTACACACTCCCTCCCGGAGGCGGGCTGCGGCTCGGCACCACGACCCACAGAGGACCAATCACGCCGCGCGCTCCACGTCACAGATGGGTGCGCAGCAAAGACGGAAGACGCGGGATCCTGGAATTACCGTAGTGCAGCTTCAATAAAGGCCTTATTTTATGTCAATCATCTGTCTACATCTGTTTGTAAACATGTTTAAAGAACAGCTCGAGACAGACATTTGTCGATTTTTCATGTTCTAGCCATTTGGGACTGTATTAGTAACGACTGTAACTTTCACTTTATAAACGGCCCATTAAAAAAGGCAGCCAGAACTGGGTCCCAATGCCATGCGTTCATTCTTCTGCAGCTGGTACCCACAGAGGTAGAGAGCAGGCCCTTTCCCAGTTTGGTTTCTGCCGGTAATCCCCTTGTACAATTCATTGTTACCCTTCCGTTTTTCTATTCCTCTTTTGTGAATCTCCCGATTATGTAACAAAGTATGTACAGTCTACTTTTGAACTATTTTTATCACAGTATTATTTATTGCTTTCTTTCAATAAAGTCCTGAAGCATTTTCCACTGCCAATAAAAATGCTGAGACTGAGCTGGGCCATGTACTGGCTATAGGGCGTGCGGTCATAGGGGAGACCGTGGCTGGGCGACACCAGTGTAGGTTATGTCTTCCAGCCCTCAGTCCCACAAACCTGGGACACTCGGGAGGCCGGAACGTCCTCGGGCAGAACTAGGTTTGGGGACGGAAGGAGTCCGCCAAGTCTTCTGTATATAGGGCTCGGTGACCAGGCTGAGTGGTGTGTGTCCACCATCTGCTCGGCACCGGGGTGGCAGGGGCGGGACGCTGGGAAGGCAACTCGAGGGCCAGAGCAAGGCCGGCTTTAGCAGCCAGGTGAAGGCGGACCAGCTCCTCTGCGGACCTGACACGGCCCCTGTGTCCGGTGTGGGTCTATGCGGGTACGTGTGTGTTTCTCCAGCTGCAGCCTCGTTTGCTGCATCTCCTACTTTAGAGGTTCACACTATGCTTCCTGCTTCTCCGTCAGACATGACCAAAGGGGGGCACAGCTCGTGGATATGGAAGCTTCTGAAAAGCCTGGTGGAATGCCCCCTTGTGGGTGTCCTAGCAGCACGGCTTTCGGGGAGGCCTTGTCCAGCGACAGGCCCCTGGCCAAACAGCTGTGGCCCTAATGGAGAGCACTCCCACTCTTCCCACCTTGAACACCTCTTCGTTGGGGTACCTCTCCCTTCATCTTTATCTGGAAACCTCTCATCTTCCGTTTCCTGTCATGCTGCACATCATGCGCATGCCCAGGCAGTTACGGGGTTTGGGTTTCGCTTTCCGAGTTTAACCAACCTGTCCTCCCTGCCCGCGCTCCGGCTGACGTTCCAGGCTAGAGGATGTCCTCCTCAGAGCTAGGTCAGTGGGAAGATGACACTCGCCGCGCTGAGCAGCCCCACATGATACAATGCAGGCCAAAAGAGCCAACATTCTTTGGTTTCTCATACGTTTTCTTTGTTCTTTGGTGAAAATGAGTTGCTGGCGACGTTGCGATTTCATTTCCATGGCTCACGGATCTGCTGGAAGCCAGCACTCCATGCACCCCTGTACAGGGCAGAGAGGAGGGAGCGCTGGCTTGGGACACCTGTGAGGTGGGACCCAGAGAAGGTGGGAGACTTCAATAATCAACATGACCCCTGGATATAAGCCTGTGGCTTCCAGGACAGTTCAAGGTTCTACTCTGTTCCTACCAGGGTCACTGAATCATTGCAGTCTTGGTGTGGCACTGTAGGATAAGCACTGGACTGCAAGATCGGTTTGAACAGCTAAGTCAATGATTCAATGGATGCCAACCTGCTGGGAGGAGGCAGCTTTCAGGTTCTGTAGTGAGATGAGTGAGGGCGTGACTCGAGAATTTGAACCATTTAGAGGCGCTGGAGTGGAGGCTGGGTTAGAGGGAAGGAGGAAGCCCGGGATCACGTGACCCTGAGGGCTGAGAATTGTATCACAGTCCTTGCAACCTATGTAGTGTCTACTGAGAATCCTACTCGCTTAGAGTCTGCAGGGAACCTGACATGTTTAGGATCTGCCAGGGACTCTCCGTGTGTACCATTTTGAGATTGTTTCCAGAAACGCCAGTGCAAATTGGCCGACTCCGTAACTTTGGTTTCAATATGTAATGTTCTCCCCTATGCCACATGAACTATGAACTGGAATCATTTTGGATGTTTACATTGTGTTCCCAACCAGCTTTGGAAGAAGCCAACTGCTCTTTTGACCTGTGTTCATTTCCTGGGAGTTCAGTGATTTCCCTCCTTGCCAATTTCCCTAGTCGGGGTTCAAGTACTGACAGACCTCACTGATACTGTAGGTTCCATTCCAGACCTCCTGCGATAAAACAAGACATGAAAGTTGGGGTTTTCCAGTGCATGTGAAACTGATGTTGACATTATACTCGAGTCTAGGAAGTGTGTGATAGCATCATGAAAAAGTTTGGAATCTTGAGAGAATTCCCTAAACGTCATAAAGACACTGATAGATTTCCTCTATGCAGAGTTGCTACAAACCTTCTATTTGTTAAGACACCCGAGATCTGAGAAGCAAGATAAAGCAAAGCGCAATAAAAGGGGCAAACCTGCAGAAGAAACCCGGCCTCCTAACATACATAACTGCTTGCCTCTCCTTTTCTCTCCCCACATGCACGTTGTGAGTTGTGAATACACAAGCACCAGTTAAGTATTAACTGTGTCCCAGGCACTGAAGGAGCTCTGGTAGCGTTTAGTGGTTACGAGTTGAGCTGCTATCCTCAAGGTCAACAGTTCAAAACTACCAGTGGTTCTGCAAGACAAAGATGAGGATTTCTGTTCCCGTGAAGATTTACAGCCTCGGAAAACCCTATACAGAGTCACTATGAGTTGGAACCGACTCCATGGCACGCCACCACTGTGCTGATGGAGGTACACTGGCCAACAGTTATGTCAATAAAGAGGGTATTCAGATAGTGGCCTTATTGCAAAGCAAGTTCCTGGACTGGGAACAATCTTCTTGGAGCACTTGGGTCAGAAGGAGGTTGAAGCGACCCGTGGAGTGAGACAGCGAGGCAGGGGCTGGAGTTGAGAAGGATGCACGGGCCCGTTTGTATAGGGACATTGGAACCATAGTTGCTAAAATACTCTGCAATGGGAAAGCAGAGGAGGATTTTCAGCAGGGGAGGAGTGTCGTGTAGATTGTACCTTCTTTTAATTCCTCAGGTGTACCGAATGGCAGGGAGACCACTCAGAGGCGATTGGCAATTGTGGGAACACAGAGAAAGGCTGATGATGTGCCAGACATATACCAGGACGGGTTGTCCATGGAAAGTGGGGGGCAGGGGTGAGCCTTGCAGAGATATCTGAACTGGGGTGGCGGGGAGAGGGCGTGTGGAAGAGAGTAATCCACACCATAAAAACGTGAACTCAAGATGGATCAATCTTAAACTGTTAAGACCATCGATTAAAAGTAGGTGTCCAAATGACAGTATAAATTTTAGAGGCTAGTCCTGTGTCCTATATATCATCGCAAAAAAAATTTTTCCTCCATCTGTGGGTTCTCTTTTTACTCTTTTGGTGCACTTGTTTGATCACGTAAGTGTCTATAATTTTTAGGAGGTCCCAGTCATCTATTTTGTCTTCTGTTCTTGTGTTTTCAGTTATGTGTGATAGTGTGCTTAATGCCATGAATCAGAGGCCCTAAGCTTGTCCCTGTTTTTTTCATTGATGATCTTTATAGTTTTCAGCTTTACATTAATTCTTTAATTC